CTCTGGTAGAGGACCCGAGCTGAATGGGGGACGGACACCACCCGAGGGGTGAGACAAGGATTTTTATTTATGATTGACATATATATGATTTATTTTATTTTTTTGCACAAATAATATTAAATGGATTATAAATAAATTACAACCATCCCGAGGAAAAATACCCTTCATATTACAAAATATAGGTACCGTAAATTCCGGATTACAAGCCGCTACTTTTTTTCCACACTTTCAACATTGCGGCGTGTAATATGAAGCGGCTTTTAATTTTTTTTTTTTTTTTCCATCGCGGGAAAAACATGGACCAATAAAATGAATGAGTCTTTCACTGAGCTCCAATGAGATTGTATGACTAATCACAACTTCCACTCTTTTGCCGTAGGGAGTGGGGGGGATGTGTTACCCGGCAACAGTCGACCAATAAAATGAATGAGTAGTACACGGGTCCAATGAAATTGTATGATTACCGGTAATCACAACTTCCTTATTTCAGTCTTTCTTCTAACCCTGATCAACATGGAGAATACCAGACAAAAATCATATGATGCAGCTTTTTAAACTAATAGCGATCACTCTGGCAGTTAAAGAAGGAAATCGAGCTGACTTCCGGCAAATCCTGGAAACAAAGAAATGTACATGTCATCTGACCTGGTGTAGCTGGAAAAAGTTGGGAGTGGCGAGGTGAGAACAGATCACCACTACCCATTATAGCAGGGGTGTCAAAGTCAAATGGACGGAGGGCCAGATAAAAATTTTTGCTGCAAGCCGAGGGCCGGACTGATCGAATGTTCATTGAAAATTTTAAAAATTACCACACATTGTTTATTGAATCAAATTTAATTGACTGAAAACCTAACAAATACATTCCAATACGGTCAGATAAATAAAGCAACATTTTTTTATGGCTATGTCAGTAAACTTTAATTTTCAACAGGCAAAAAAAAATTTCCTTTGTATAAAAATACCCATAACATGAATGAAAAAAGCCGATATTATTCAAGGCACTATCACTAGTCCATATTTTCTCTTTTAGCAAAAGTAGGCTAAAGTTACTTAAAAGAAAAACAAATAATAGTGCAGTAATTTTCGATCATTTACTCGAATAAAATATTTTTAAAACATAATTGGATTGAAATACAATAAAATAAAGTGCAAAAATGTATAAACCAAAAACAACACTTTCTTCAAGAAGTAACAAGCAGCGAAAGCAAATATTATACTTTAATTTTTAAACTTGAACTGAGTAAAAACGCTTAATATGTGATTGCACAGTATATTATAAGTAATATTCACTTCTTTGAGGCTGAGGCTGATACTCGGTGGTGTCTTAACTTTTCTACAAGTTCATCAATATTTGGGGTCAGGCTCTGAGCTGAGCAAATCCTCAAAATTGAGTGAGGGTGTTCAGCAGTAAATCGACTTCTGTGTGATGTTTTGTTCAGCTTCATCAAAGAAAATAGTTGTTCACACACGTATGTGCTGCCAAACTTTCGACAACGTTTGAGCAGCCTGGATGCGCAGCGGGACCACTGTGTCGGGGAGGAAACCGTCAAACTGCGCAGCACGCACTGCCGTATCTTTGCAGAAACACTGCAATTGTGTTTCTGCTAATGCTCACGTT